ATGACAACAAGGTAATCAATCAAATCACAGAAAATAGTCCTAATTGCCCCACAGGATTGAAGGGACGTAAACAGTCAATCAAAATCCTCGAACAGAACTATGTATGCCCAGTCACTCTGGCGCTTACCCGAAGTTGAACTGAAGATGTTGCCTAGCCTGACAACGAAGTTATGTCACAATTTATCCAATGTAACACGGTAAACAGAAATCAGACGTAGGCTTTTTTCAAGGGGTCATTCCTCTTATCAAAATTAAACCGGTCGCTTTGGTTTCCGTACCGTTATTTGGATAGTCCAGTGATCGTACGTTTGCGCCTTCAAACGGTAATGTGACCCTAACAACCGAAAACTGATACATGTCAGCAAACGATTGTCAAAGAAATCCGATCGACACAACATGCGTACCCCAGCCCCGCCGTCCGTCTAAGCTGTTAAAATTGAGTCAAGGAATCGGTGTCACCAAATTCAATGCCACGCAAATAGCTTTCATTGAATAGTTCTATTGATGAAGAAGCAGTTCAAACTTCAGGTTGCACGCCAAATCTCCGAAAACATTTGGAATAAGTCGCAGTGTACTCCGACTCTCACTAAAAGGCCCTAATTCCAGTGATGGCGGATAAAGCACTACCGTCGCACGACAAAATAATAGCCAAAGCATCCCCTAGAAATGTTTCACTCATTTCAGATTCGTGGCTAGAATATCTATTGACGCCCGTGTGTGACGCTTAAACGAGCCATTGGCAACTAGCCAACCTGGCCATTTGAAAAACCTCCATTTGTGAGCCCTCCTGAAAAGGTACCAAATTAACGGTACCTTGGTGTTGACGAACAGCAAGACACATTTTCAGTTTTCAGTTTTGGCAAATTTGTATGACAAAAGCAGGTGAAGTAGAACGGATAAATAAGGTAAAACCCAAATCAAGAGAAGATAAACGGATGGGAGAAGGATGTATGTTGACTTGTTTACATAAAAAGTTGCATGGCCGGTTTCAAACTAGTTCTGTTGATAGCACCGGTGGTCAACGATCTACCCATGCGGAGATCACGCATCCGAAACCTCATCCTCAATAGATCACGTTCTTCTCTCCCCCGCCTCCCTCCCTCGACCCCAAACCCAAAACGACAAAAACGTATTGCGATTATGTTGCATGTCAAATAGAAACCGAGCACTGTAAAGATTGAGATCCACCAAAAACAAGATCAAAGAACTGTTTCAATGCTTACTTGCTTCCACATCCCTTATTGATCGTTGCATGAATAAAGTTTCTTTCAGTGGGTTTAAAGATGGATCAGCTTCGGTATCTATGGGAGATAAATGGTAAAATATCTTTTGGTTAAATAGCCCAGGCATGTTGTTGAATCACATAACGGAAAGCAATCAATTGACAAGTCTCATCACACAGAGAGTAAACGATCACAGGATGTGATGAAATCAACTAATTCGCGATAACCTCACCAGCCGCGTATATACATTCGGTTGAAAGAGTAACCGGATTGTGAAAAAGCGAACACACACACACACGCACGAGGTAGAGAAATCAGTTTGGCGGGAAAATGTCACTATAACTTGGACCGGATTGAGCACAGGGAGCCAGGGAGCGTAATCAGTGCACAGGAGGCTAGTTAAATGATTACCATTGTAGGGCAAGGTTGATCAACAGGCCGAGTGACATACACATGTCGGGTTTGTAACGTCGAACGACGGTTGTCGGATCCGATCACAAAACAGAGTAGACCAATAAATAGGGAAAAAATGCAGTCAAGAGAAAATTACTCAGGGACGTATCCCCTGATTGCGTGATCAGTAATACCCGCAGACATGCAAGAGATCTTTATCCCAGTAAGGAAGCAGCTCTGACACAGTTGAAGTACTAAGTCGCTGGTAAATTGTGGTAGATAAAGTCCGTCATCGACGTTGAGTGCATCCATCGCCAAATCCATTCTATTTCATGGCTTGCCACTCCTATCGAACTTCAAAACGATCACCTAAGTGTGCATCTGAAAACTGAAAATGCAGCAATCTAATACCAAGAGCTAATATTCTTTCTTGCTCGACATTCACACTATTTTTTCACCCGATGAATATACACACATACATAGATAGCTATACATTTACAATAAGTAGTGTATGAATGACTTGACGAAATTTCCCCGGGAATCACAAGACCGGTTTCGCGGTTCTCGCCGCTAGTCAGGCATGCGTATCCGGTATTTTTATGTCTATTCATTCATATCCTTGTTACCAGGAACTGAATAACCTCATTTGCAACACAGAATAAATTTTCTTAGACAACCCTTCCAGGACCAGTCCACTGATGAAGCAATACTACCGATAGATGAGTTAGATACCATTAACCACAACAAACATGACTCTTTATGGAACACTTTCATGTATATATATATATATATATATATATATATAATACCGGTTTCACTGCAATTAAAATCCAGGAAGCCAATGATATAATAAACGATTTGTTAAATGAAACTGAGGCTTAAACCGGATGATTGAGTTACTAATAGCTAACCCTGTGGAAGTCGGTAGAAGGCTCACTCCCGAGAAAACACAGTAAAGAATTACAGAGCATTATTGAAGTGATGTGATGAAGTACAATGGGTTTCCTAAACAGGTGGATCAGTCATAGGGGTTTCCGCCGGCGATCAAAGGCATTCCACTTCCTTACAGATAGCGTAATTTTATTTTCACTTGATACCGTACGGGTCCAAATCACATACTAATGATAATCACACCATATGTTGGGAACCGTTTTAAGACTCGCTGACTCAAGTTTTGAAATACATGTGTTGGTTGTTTTCACTAACTGGTCCGTTGTTGTTTAAGCAATGCGCCTATCGGGATGTGTAGAACTAAGATACGGAATCCTCAACTCAACGTGAATGGTAGCTATCGGGGAGGAAGGAGTAGGTGCCCTGTTGCTCTTCGGTCCATGAGCAGCTTTTCTCTGTTTTCATTTGTTGAAACCGCCACCTCTTCCTCTCGTCCTCTGAAGGGACAGATTTACAAAGCCACAATCCCCGATGCTTTGTTCTACAGTCGTGAGATGTGCCCCTTCACAACTATGTTCGACAAACTTCGTTATTCTGGAATCATTGCCTCCAAAGAACGGACCACATCTGATGATAGTGGTCTACTTAATTTCACCGATGTGCTTTGGACCCTATGGTCCGAGGTTCGAACCGCGCCACCGCCACTCAAAATTGGCGGTGGGCAGCTCTGCCGTTGTCCAGTTCAATACCACGCCTAACTTAGCGAGGTACTATGTGGTCCACCACTCCAATTCCCGGAACTTAGGTAACCGCTCTCTATCAACCCGCAATCCCTTAACCAAAACCCGCATTGCTTTAGCCTCAACCCACAATCCTTTAGCCAAAACTGACCATGCTTTAGCCACAACCCGTAGTCTCGACGCACAAACTCTATTGATACCGCTGTAGATGCGTCAGATTAAAACGTATTGGAATATTTATTCTGAGGTCAATGAATGGTGAAAAAGTTATGTACTACAAATGTTAACTTAGCCAAGTCTGGCTAAGAAATGGGATGCGGCGGCTGCACGCTGCATCACATGTTATTGGAGAAGGTTACACGGTGTGTCCGAATCTTCAAACCATTTGACACATCTCGTACAACTTCAGTGTTGCTGTATAACATGCGATACTCCTGTTAGTAAGTCTCAAATGTAACACACACAGTATACTAGTTTGTATTCACAAGACCTAAAATAAATAAAAAGTGATACCACAAAAAGTGAATCTTTACCGTTCCGTATTGTCTTCCCCAGGGAAAGGTGCAAACAGGGTACCTGAGACTTTGGGGTAATGCATACTTTGCAGTAGCCCACACTGACGAATGGGCTTTTCTTTGGGAACCCTGACCGGAGCCTGACTCAAAAACAGGAGCCACAAGGCAGTGGGGCGTACATCCAACGCGGGAGCGTAAAGGAAGGAGCGATTCGAGAACTTATAGAGATCTGTCACGCAAGGCCTTTTGGTTTCGGTTCAGTGTTTTTCGCTAATACGTTGATCAGCAGTCCGCTGGCGGTGGTACAGTAATCCTTATGTAAGAAAAAAAAGTTGCTTGAAAGCACGACACTGCTAGGTTTCCCAGGTCTAAGGTGAATTTTATTAGGGAGTTCACAACCGGAGACTTTGGATAGCCAAAGCCTGACCTGCAAGGTAACAGGACGGTGTGTGAAAACTGCAACTCATTTGAGAAGGCTGTGTCCAGTTCATCGGTGATTACTTGGTGATGTGGCATGTATACGGATGAGTTATTTTAATTCAAGAAATAAAAGTAATCAAATAAGTCCAAAAGTAACCACTTTCTTCCGAAATCGCGCTTCGTTCAGTTCACTTCTTCCGGGTAGATAGAGTAAATTAGTTCGATGCATTTACATCTTAGTCTTAGCCCTACTTCGGCGATGCCTCGTGAAGGGATGTGAACCAGTATCGTGAAAAGTTCGTGAAGTTTGATAGGAACTCGGTACAAATGAAGTTTCGTAATCTAATCCGCTTTTATTCCAGAAATACTGTCTGACCTTTTCACGACCAAGTGTGATCGACGATATAGTGATAAGCTTACATTTAATAAGCTAACAGTTACCAATACCAATATCAGTGTCAATGGGGGGAGAGAAATCCGGGNGAAATGTGCTGTAGATTGGATGTGCTTGATTGCGTGTACAATGAGGATAGCATATAATCTGAAGGTTCTGTTACAATGACATAACGACTTTGAGTCCCGGTACCAGTGGTATTTATTGCTGCACCGGACGAATGTCCCACCAGCCGATAGCGTCTCGAACGTCCATCTCCCATACCGGATACCATGGCCGCTGGATCAGAACGATCACTGGATCGTCTTAAATGGGAATCCAAGTGACCTTGATAATGACGTAGTTCGCCGTTAACTCCCACCGGGCCTCCTGGTCCGTGGGGATAACCCGTTCGCGGATCTTTCGGTATGTTTGGGAAGTATCCAGAGGACTTTGGAGGACCGAACTCGGCATGATTTGACGCGGACCCATAATTAGACGTACCATCTTCGCGCAAAGATTTGTGCGATTTTCGACAACAAGGGGAGCAGTGATTGCCCATTTCGACTTTGAGTAGCCGTGTAGCCGGGGCTCGGTGGGGCAACCTGAAAACAAAATAAACTAATGAATTAGATTTAACTAGTGACGGGATTTCGTTTGCGCAAATCGCAGTGCGTCATTTCCAGAAAATACCATGTCAAAAATAGGTAACACAAGCGTACACAGGTCGGTTGAAGCGCAAATGTAGAAGCGAAAGGTTATCATTTCGTTGGAAAAAGCGTATAAGACCAAGTGATCAGTCACCCATCGTTTGTGGAGGTCTAACAGATATAATGATTGACTAACATACTGGCACACGGATTTCAAAGGGTATTATTCCCCACACCATTAACTGCACCAACGTGAACGGATAAATGAAAAGACAAAGCGCATTAAACATTAGGACTGAGCATTTCATTAGAAATTTTGTTTGACTTAGCGTATATAAATAATGATGGCCCCTACAAGTCAGAGCGTTGTCACCCGGGGAGAAAACCGCAAAGATCGAATAAAATGGATAAACAAAATGGAATAATCTATAGCAGGTAACTATCACTATCGCGGTGGTGGCGCAGCGGTTTAGTCTCTGTCACCGGCGTGCTTTGGACCTTATGGTCCAGGTTAAAATCCCCCAATAGCCACCTAACTTTGGTGGTAGGCAGCTTTGCTGTCGTCCGATTCAATACCATATCTAACCTGGCAGAGCCTTATGTGGTTCCCCATTCCAAGTCACGGGGCTTAGGTTGTCCGTTTCCATTACTGAGCAACGGGTCTGCGTGCGCATGGGGCTTTCCCCGTCTGCTGTTTATCATACTAAGGTGTTACCGAAAAAACTCGTTGATTTTAAAATGCCTAAACTGAAATAACAAATGAAGCCTCATAATTTAATGATTTCAACGTTTTCTTACAAGGAATGATTGTTACACTATGCAAGGACATCACCCCTTGGACGTGAAGCAGAATCATTTGCCCTATTGAACAGCCTCCACCAACTGGTTGATTTCCCAACTCGTATCCCCGACCGTGCTGGCGACCACGTCCATACTCTCGATCTTGTCCTCACATCCAACCCACGATTCTTTTCAAATGTTGCTGTAATTCCTCCCCTGGGCTCATCGGACCATTGCCTCCACCCAAATTATTTATTCTAATGTTCCTCCCAATTATAGACGCACATTTTGGCGATATGGTTCCGCTGATTGGTGCAGCTCTCGTACCTTTCCTACCCCTGGAATAAATGTTGCTTTTTCACCAATGTCTCCATCTACGCTCTGAATTTCTCCGAAGTTCTTTTGCAAGGCATGCAACTATTTATTCCTCATTTCACAACCCGGCAAGCCTCTTTCTCCAGATTGGTCCAACCACACCTGTTGTCGCATTGTTCGTAAAAGCAAATCAGCGTTTCGCCTATGGCGTCGGTCACCTCCCCCCAGCTCCAGCCGATAGTTCTTGTTAGCACGCAACAAATGTACAACCATCATACAGAAGGCTAAAGAGCACTTTGTGGAGAGCAAAGCAACACAATTGGCGACCACTCCTTCTGGAAGTCGGACGTTCTGGTCAATCGCTAAAGCTGTCTCCCGTAACTTCTGTTCCACTAACACCCTACCCATTGTTAAACCATCTGGTGACTTGAAATCCGACCCGTTGGAAAAAGCAGAAGTGTTTGCTTCCCAATTTGCTTCCAATTTCACCCTTTTCGAATCACCCATCCAACCCTGCACACACCCTGCGGCAAACCATCCGCTCATTTCCATCAGGAAAATACGTCAGATCCTCTTTTCGCTGAACCCACACAAGTGATCTGAAGCCGACGGGATTCCTCCAATTGT